GACTCTTAAATACAGGTTGGTATATCCAGACCAAAACAAGTCACACCACAATGCAAAAGGTAATCTTGTTCCATATTGAACTCAACTGGCTTCTAACAAAACAATTCACTACATAGCTGACCTAAATTACTGTGTTGTTTTTAATTAAATGAGTGTGGTATGCAGAAACAAAGCAAAACAAAATAATCAAGTACTTTGTCCGGACTCTTCACTCATTTAGAACTGCATCCCCTCAACACTAGCCATTTTGCCATTCAGATACACCAAAGAAAAGGGAGTCACTTTCATCCATAAACATGTTTTGCAAGTTACCACCTACTCCTTCGCAAATTGTTCTTTTTAAAAAAATTAGATTACCTTTAGCCAGCACCCACATTCACCTCTGACATACTAAAAGCCTGACAGAATCCCAGGCACACCTAAACACATCACCTGATCTACTACTGTGGCAACAAAGTGTTGCCACATTATTTTGAATTACTTGCATACTTGGGATAACTAAGCAAACGTATCATTTGTCATTCATACTTTGCCAATTAAAGAGAGTGAATCTGTGGATAGCTATTCACTGCCTACAAACTACATTTTTGCAAGAAGTTACAGTAGTCAGTATACATTTCAAGTATACATATAGTAGCCAGTATGACATTTCAAGTTGCAACAAGGAGCAAATAATTCAGCCTTCAAGAATATTAGTTACAGACAAAGTGTTTATTCCCCTCTCAGACACCGCATTCTCATTAAGCCTTTCTCTTCTGCACAACTGATGAGATTTTAAGTGAATTGTTAAAATAGGATATATTTCTCTTCATTACCTATTTGTAGACTACTACTAAAATATAGTCAAGACTCTTTAAATGGGACTCTTAATGAAGACCTTTTTTTGTATCTTTAACATGGAGGTGATTCTTAGTGATAATTACGTTTTTAAAAATCATACCTGGCAGCCAGTCTAAGCCAAGTTCAAGTGCCACTCTGCATTAAACGAAGCTGAGTTAGTAAAGCTGTGCACACAGCACTCAACTGAGCAGAAGAAAACATACCATATTTAATAAAATGCCAGATTCTTGTGGTCGGTGTCCATAAAAATGCTTAGCAGTGTTGGATATGTGGTTTGCAAAAGCAAGCAAATCCTCCACAGTTCCGTATCTGACCGATGACAACCAAGGCACCTCTTGGCCACTAAGCAGCAGAGACTCGGAACGCTCCTCGTTTTGATTGCTGTCTTGACACATGGTCATCAGACCAGGTTCGTACACTGCCGGCTCTTCATTTACATAAAGATTTTCCATAATGTCTATCACCTCAGACATGTTTAAATGTTTAATTAATAAATCGATTTCTTCTTTATTGTCACTTCCAGTGCTCATGTACTCCATCACTGTTGCACTTTCTGTGGAGTCTACGAAAGAAAATACAAATAGTTTAGGATGTTTGTACTTGTGTTCAAGACATGCAAGGATTCAGACCAGCCTTCTCTATGCCTTTGGGCAGAAAATGAGGGCCCTGTGCCAACTGTGTGTGTGAATTCAAGGTGACAGTGCAGAGTCGAAAGGGACCTGAGATAACCTTTCGTCCAGCTCACTTTGCAGAGGGGAAACCTGAGACCAGAGGGCTTACTCTAACTCAGAGTCAGTGGCACCAGCTACAGCCACTGAAAACAAACTTTCACTCAACATAAACACAAGAAAGAACAGCTCAGGAATCTGTGAAGAGCTCAGGCTGCTGGCTCTTAACAGCTCTCAACCTTGCACAACCCGCCTGTTCTCTGCAAGAAGCACTATGGCTTTTTCTTTTTTTTTTTT